GCCCAGGGGGCCGAGCGCGGGCTCCCTCCAGCGCGGAGCGGCCGGCCCAGCACCCGGCGGAACGGCAGCCACAGTGCCTGTGCGCGCAGCACGCCGGGAAATGCAGTCCTCCCCGCCCCGCTCCCCGTCGCGGCCGCCGGGGGAGGACAACTCCCAGTGTGCACCGCGCGAGGGGCGGGGCCTCGCCTCGCCTCCGAGGGAGGCGACGTCTGCTGTGGGGCTGATCTGTCTGCCCCGGGCGGGCATTGATGGGCCAGCGGTCGCCTCCTGCGCCCGAGCCAGGTCGGAGACACGGACCCGCGCCTCGGCCCCGGGCTTGCAGCGGGACTGGAGTGCGGGGCCGAGTGACCACTGGGGATCCTGGTTTCCTCTGATTTTAAAAAATCCCCAATTTTCAGTTAAAAAAAAGTAAGCCCAAATACACATTTTTTTCTGTGATGAAAATGAAACACCACTTATATATACATACATAAAAAAGTAAGCCCAAATTCACATTTTTCTATTATTAAAATGAAACATCCCTATAGATATTGATACAGTTAGATCTATATCCATATCTATATATTGATATCTATATAGAGAGAGGTGTTTCATTTTAATAATGGAAAAATGTGAATTTGGGTGTACTTTTTTTTAAACCAAAAATTGGGGATTTTTTTAAATCAGAGAAAAGCAGGATCCCTGGATTGACCACAACCCGCCTCTGTCTGGAAGCCTTTAATGTCTTATCATGTAGGAGGGAGCGTGGAAAGCAGAGCCCTCCGGCAAGAAGGGGCCTCCAGACGTCCAGTCCAGTGGCTCTCAACCTTATTTGTACCAGAGCCCATTTGTAAACACAGATGGCCAGTCCCACCCAGTAAATAGTTTAGAAAACAGGCCAGTGTGTGCGGGGCAGGGAGTGGTGTGCGTGAAGCATGGGGGCCCCCAAGCAGCCCCTGGCAGGCTGGCAGCCTGCAAGGGACATCCTGTGGTTTCCCCACATTTTTGTCCTTTAAAGGAGAATCCATTTTTAAAGTTTGTTTGCAACCTTTTCATATATTCTTGTGAGCCACTTTTAGGTCATGACCCACAGGTTGAGAAATGCTGATCTAGTCCAACCCCTTGCCTCACCCCCATCCCTATCCACACCATCCTATACAATCCTTAGCCTAAACTCTACATAAGACCTAACGTACTGTCGACACAACACAGACCTGACAGAGGTAAAGCAGGGGAGCCACTGCAGCCAACTGGCATATGAAGAACACCCATCACCTAGCTAGGTCTTGTGGCACAAGAAACACTTTCAATCTCATTTACCCTATTGCCTTAGATAAATGTAACTAGAGTTTAAATATAACTGGATTGTACCTGGACCATTCAACTGGAACAAATAAAAAATATATATTTTGTTCTGTCACAAAACCAGGGTGTTTAATTTATTCTTTCATGTATGCAGCTTTCTCCTGCGCTTAGGTCGGATTTAAGAGTTTGGCCTGTTGCCACTTCGAATCACCTTTCATATCTCACATGTGAAACAGTGCGGGGTGGGCGCACTGCAAGGAGAACCTGTGACGTGGGCAATGGGCTGGGTGGATGGCGCATACGGGTAACTCAGCAAGTGGCATTCCCCTGCCCAGGGCTCATCCAGATTCAAAATTCAACTACTGTGAATGGGTTTGAAAAAAAAAACAACAAAAGCCCATCATCATGTATGCGCATCTTGGGTGTTTTTCCTCCCATGCTTCACTTCGCACTTACCAACATCAAATTTCATCCGTCATTTTGTCGTGAAGGCCAGGACCAACCTTCAGACCTTACTGCAAGTGCTCTCACTCCTGCTGCAATGGAGCAATCCCAAACTCCTCCCCAAACCCCCGTGTTGACACTTTCCTTCAGCATAGGCCTGTCTTCTGTTGTTTCAACTTAGCTATATGAGGAGTGGAAATAAAGTGGGTTTCAAGTGAATTAAAAATGCCCATTTAGGATTTAATAGAAAACTTGCTTCTTAGGGTTTGGCAGCCAATCACACTAAATACATTTAAATTTACATTTTTACTTAGGTCTTGATATAAGCCCTGGGCAGTACTATAAAAATGTTCCAGTGTAATGTTAAGGGCTTCATTCATCCTGATAGACGCAGATGCTGTGTGTCAGATCTGATACTACAAATGACTTGTTGACCACTTCTAGTAATGACATGCTTTAATACTTTTTACAGAAGTTGGCCTTTCCTGATATATTCAGAGAAAGATCCACCTGTATCCCAACTACATCCTCATCCAATAAAAGATATCACCCTAAGAAATCCTTGCAATTCAAATAATGACACTCAGCTTGCCCACAGCTGTCTCTCTAGTTTCTGTACAGTTCAAATGGCAGGCCAGTTCTTCCTCAGACTTGTTACAACCACCCCAGGATCAAGGAGACAGCATATTATGTCATTGTTAAGGGCCTGGACATCAGGTTAGCCAACAGCTCAGGCAGCCTCATGTCCTTTGAAACATTGGGTCACATGAATTGTAACGTCCCTCCATAAACTAAAAATAGGCCGTAAAATTCCTACCAAGCTTGAACCTGTCCAATCTCAGGGTCTCAGGACAGTGCCAGCGTCCCGCCTGCGGGCTGAGACGCCGCCAGAGGAGAGGCTGAGGCTGCCTGAAAGCAAAGGCTCAGCCCCAGCCGCACGCAGCACCGCTATGTCTGAAGTCCCTGGCAAGGGAACAGGCTCTGACGTGACCGTTCCCTGGAGCAAACAGGGAAGCAAACGGACAGAAAGCGATGCTGCGGCACGACTGGCGGGGAAGAGACCGCCAAGGGAGGCGAAGAGGAACCCGGGCGGGCGGGACGATCAGGTGAAATGGGAGATCGATGCCTGTGAAAAAAAAGGTAGCGGAAACCTCCCCCAGTCCATCAGCGCCCCGTGCCAGCCAATGAGCCGGGCGCAGGGGCGGGCCGGCGGGGCTGGAGGCAGGCGCTGGGGGAGCCGAGGCGGTGAGCGGCGGAGGCTGCGGGCAGGGGGCTGGTGCCGAGGCGCCTG